TATTTATCGCATAGGGTTTATATCCTTCCCATTAGAATATAGACTCCAAAGGAACAGAACTGCACCTCTTATTCAGTGCTGTGTGCTCAGCACCTACAGTCGTAACCACCACATGGAAGCCACAGACAGACATTTGCTGCATCAGTGAATGAATGACAAGGACCCAAGTATAATCCACGTGAAATGTGCCGTGGATGCAGTTGATTAGGCTTGGAGTTGGCTGGAATCAAGGTTGTCCCACTCGTTCAACAAGTTTCTCGTGCCAGGCTCTGTACCTCGAGGTGCCTCTCCCAGTCCTCAAACGTACAGACACCAGGCAAGTCCTCTCCGGCACTTCTTCCAGCGAGCAGCAGGTGCTGCTTGGCTTTCATGGAAATGAGTCGTAATCCAGCTTCAGCTAAGACCCAGCTGAGATCAAGGTTTCTGATTCAGAAGGATGAGAGGTCTTGTGCAGAAGTGCGTTTCCTGCCCCTGCTACTTGAGCACTTGTCGTTGTCCCGTGTGCGCTGCCCCGGGAAGCAGCATTCCCACAGTGCTGAAGCTACAGCATTGTTTTCCTCAGCTCAAGGTCAGCCTGTCTGCATCCTGGGCTTCATCAGTGGATCAAACCATGTGTATCTCCTCCGTCATTAAACAGTCCCTCAACAGGCTAGGCTTCCTCAAAAGATGGTGTGGAAACTGGTACCCAGCACAGAGGGAGCTGTTCTGGAGCCACACTGTGGGTGTCCCTCAGCCTCTTAGGGCAAATCATAAGGCAACTTAGCCTGGACTGGAAATGAGCATGTCATGTCTAACTCAAGGCCACCTGGCCTCCCCACCTGGAGACGCCGCTGCTGAGCAATTTCCACCAAGTTTATTGAGTGACTGAGTGATTGATTGGGAGACAAGGTCTTGCTGTGTTGCCCAGGCCGGCCTCAAACTCGTGCTCCTCCTGTCTCCCTCTTCTAAGTGGCTAGGATGCCAGGTGTGTGTCCCTGGGCCCAGCTACCGGGATCATTTCACAGCATACCCACAAGTGGACAGCAGTTGAGGGAGCAGTATCTGTGTGTGACACAATCGGCCTCTTAGAATCCTAGGTGAAGCTCCAGTGAGTGCCATCCTGCCCTTGTGTCTGGCTGTGTTCCTGGGCTTCTGAGCTGGTTTCCTCAGCTTCCCGCTGCCTATGGAGAACATGCAGTCCCCTGCCTGCCCACTGTGGACCCCCGCTCTCCTCCACTCCCCACGCGTGCTGTGTGTCCCCCAGCTCTGCCCTCTCAGCCAGGAGCAACACTGCCAGCTCCTCCCTCAGGGCCTTGACATCCAAGCCTTGATGCCCCAGCAGCCCCAGTGCAGGCTCCAACCCCCTGCCCAGCCTGGCTGGCCCGGTCTGGGCCAGTCCTGGCCATGGGGAAGGACAGGGAGGCCCGAGAACCTCCCCTGACCGCCCAGGTGGAACCCAGCTCTGCAGTGGTGAGATGTAAGCAGGACAGAGCAGGGAGGGCCGGCAGTCCGAGACGGGCTGCAGCCTGATGGTCAGCGAACGGGGTCACCCGATGCCTGGGCTTTCTCTTCTGTTGCTCATTCCCAGCTGCTGCCACCTATGTCCCCAACCGCACAATTCTGTCCTGCTCTGCACACAGGGCTGCACATCACGGCAGCTAAACCTCATGTTCTGTCATATTAGCTTGCTTTCCGAGTCCTGGCCCCTCTTGGCGGTGGAGCTGTCCGCCTCCCATTATCCAGTACCCACACGGCTCTGTGATTGAGCCACAGGGGTGGCATGAGAAGAACCATGCAACAGTTTGCTGGCACCGGGCATTTTCATGTAATTCCCTACATCTGTCAGTCCAGTCAATTTAAAATGGTAATGATTTCAAGTGGTATACTGTGCTTTTGGTGAACTCAGCCAGTTCCCTTAGTCATTGACTTTTTTCCTAAAAAAGATGTTTTTAGTAATCGATTCTAAAATTTCTTGGAAAGTTTTCTGCATCTTACAAGGAGACACACACACACACACAGGGACTCGCCTGTTTGTGCTCCTGGACCAGGCTCTAGAGGGCAGAGAGGAGGAGCCTGGTGTGCTCTGGGCCTTCACCCTCTGGCCCCTATGGTCCTATGGTGTCTTCTGGGGTGAGTGTTACTATTACTCACTTTACAATCAGGCAAACGACAGCAGAGAAGTTCAGACAGAACGCACACTCCTTAGTGATTGTTTCTCGGTTTCTCAATAGAGAATCTAAAGCATATAGTAAAGCAGAGAGCAGCACCATGAATCCCCATGCACTCGTCGGCCACCGAGCTGAAGCAATCAGCGATCCCGGCCTGTCTCGCCTCACTGATGCCCTGTCTCCCTTCTCTCCCTCCACGCACATTATTTGGAAGCAAATCCCAGACCTCATATCATCTCATTCTGGAACACTTCATGCATGACAAAAACTAAAAGCTACTTTTGTGTGGCTCTTGTGTTACAACCCAAGCCAGCTGCTAAATATTAATAACTTTCCCTCATAAAATTTGAAAATGGAGAAAAGCTGAAGGCGAAATAAAAAGATCACCCACAGTTTGACTTCCTAGGAATGACGAGTGCTGTGGACTGGATACTTTTGTCTCCCCAGAAGTCCTGTGCTGAGCCTGGCTCCCAGGTGAGGACATTTGGAGGGGTCCTCGGGGTGTGACTGGGCTTCGAGGCAGGGCCCTTGTGAACAGGAAGTGGGCTTTGCCCCCAGCCATGAGAGGCCAGCATCTGTTGTCTATAAGCCACCTCATCCTGGTACAGCACTGAGAAGGGTAACGACAGCTCCAACACTACCAGTCCACTTTCTCACAGCGCTGTGTTCATTTGTTCCAAATATGAGGCTGTAGTTTTCTGCCTGTTACAAGCTGAGCATTTTCCACTCTCATGGCACTCCACAGTCTTGGGTACAGGGCCCCTCTGTCCTTCCTGCGGGACCTTTAGTTGTTCCGGGAGACTTGCCTGCCTGAGAAATTCATTCCATGCTACCACGGTGGCCAGCGCGTGAGCAGCATGCAGCAATTATCTGCTCATCAGTGTTCCTGACTGGACCAGCTTGCACTGGGGCAGGGGCTGTTTTTAATTTGTTTCCATATCTCTGGAGCTCACTTATGTTTCTATAAAAAACAATCTGGCAGAGCTCATTACTGTGAGGCTGTTGAACTCGAAAGTGTCTGCATCCCACAGCATTCCCTTTCCAAGGGTCCAGGGGAGAAATCTTCCTCAGCTTGCAGGGGCAGCAAAGCCATTGACCTCCCGAACCCCGGGGTGCTCCTCTGGCAGGTGTCAGGAGCAGTTGGAATGTGAGTCCCTATGTCCTTTTTCGCTTTGGTCATGAGCTCGCTTGGAGATGAAGTCGTGGTCCTGTTTGGGGAAGCATTTGCAGTTTTCACAGCCTCATCTTTCACACTGTCCTATTCTCTATTCACCACAAGTTCTTCACATTTGGAGAAAGTCACATGTTACCAAGACAGAACCATTTTTTTTTTTTAGTACCAGGGATCGAACTCGGGACCTTGCGCTTGTGAGGCAGGCAGGAGAGCCGCTGAGATAAATCCCTGGCCCGACAGAACCATTTTTGACATATTAATTTGCGAGCCTTCTCCTTCTTCCATGCAGGTAGCTTGCAAACTGCCCACCTGCTTCAGGGGTTGCACAGTGATGGGTCCTCCCTATCCGGATTGATCTGTAAGTGTCCAAAGCCTTCAGGAGAGTGAGCTGGGGGCCTGGGTGGAGCAAAGGGCATCTGAAGGATGCCCTCAGAGGAGGAAGCTCTCCCAGGTTGACAGGAGACCCTCAGAATCTCTGCAGATCTGCAGATTTACGGAAAGCAAAGGCAGAGCTCCAGAGAAACGACCTTCCCCAGGGGAGCAGGGAGCTGGCTGGCAGGGACAGGTGCAGCACGGGCTGCGTGGGTCTCGTGCCCAGCTCCTCAGGGTCTCAGGCGTGGAAGACCCTGGAGGTTTTGTGTTCACATGAAGGTGGCGACCTCGGAAATGATGGAAGCTGAATTTTCACCTACCCAGTGAGGCCACGCTTGGATTAAAAATGATGTCTGATTTATAGAAAACAGAAGAAATATAATATTTCTTAGATATGTGACTTTTCAAATGAGGACTTATATTTACTGCAGTACTTACTGCCTTTGTGAAAGCCACCCAGGTCCTTTTGGAAATCAGATGGACTATAAATAAACAGAGAAGAAAATTGTCATTATCAAGGAAGGAGTGTGTGGGTTTTGAAGGCAGGTCTGCCAGCATCTTATAATTTCCCTTGTTTTCTCCAGTCGCATCCCAACTGTTCTGGCAGTGTACCCAGGGCCAGGGTTGTGTTCTGCAAATGCAGGTTGGTCTGGGTTCCTTCCCTGCTTAATGTTCTCCACTGCATCTGTCTGACCGCAGGATGAAGTCTACCTCTACAAAATCCTCCGTCGTTTGCTTATCTACCTTTAAAACACCCCCACTCCTACTTCATCTCAAGAAACATTGTCCTATCTGCTGCCCCACGAAAGGACTAGCTCCTTCTTCTCTGGTTTTTGCTGTCACAATCCTTCCAGGGACCAGTGCCTCCTCATCCACTCTTCCCAGGTGTCTCTGTTGCCTGGGCAGCCTTTTCCAACTTTCCCTCTTCACTTGGCTTGGACCTGCTTCTCCTGCTGTGTGGACATGGACATGCAGCCCATGGCTACCTGTACTTCCCTTACCCAGGGATCCAGACTGCCCATGTCACGAGAAGCAAGAACATGCAAACCTGTTCACAACCAGGCTTGTGGCATCTGAAAACATGCATTGCATGGTAAAATGGGAGCAGAGAGTCATTTCAAGGTGGATCATTGGTGGTTCAGAGGAAACAAGGAAGAAATCTCCAACTGTGGCCCACAGTTGGTGGCAGGGCCTGAGGGCAAAGTGATTTGGGGGTAGTGTGAAGATGTGCTCCATCATGCCCCAGCCAGAAGCTGCTTATCTCTGCCCCAACAGCCATCCCTGTTTCCCGTCTAGTAACAAAAAGACCTCTCACAGTTCAGCTGGTCATAGTCACCCAGCCAAATGTTCCCTTTGTCCAGCCTCCCTTGCAGCTGTGTCTGGTCACATGTCCAACATCAGCCAGTTAGGATGTCAGTGGAGTCATAGGTGGGAACTTCCACATCATCACTTTGAAGGCAAAGTTGCTAACTCTGACTGTCCCTTGCCCCCTCCTGCAGGCCGAAATGCAGATGTAGATGAGGAAGCTTGGATTCCTAAGCACTCACCTTGCTCAATTCTGTTAGTGGAGAGTAAGGCAGTGCTCTGCTGAGTTAGGTTAAGGCGATCATGTCTGTCAGACTTTCACAGGTATTCCACCTGGAAAGATGCGGTGGGCAGGGGAACTCAGAGTAGAGAGAAATCACACCAGAGTACAGGTCCACAGCTGTACACTGCCCTGTGAGTCCTGTGAGTTGATCCTGTTTCCATGAAAGAATCTAATCTTCTGCTGCACATGACCACTGACTAGTATGGAAGGAAGGACCAAAGAACTCCACTTAAATAGAATTTTGCTTCCCCTTCCTTACCTGTTTTTAAGGGCCAGAAACAGAAGAAAGGGAAAACCAGGTGAGAAGGAAGAAAAGCAAAAAAGAAAAACCACTCTCTGTCCCACTGTGGACAATAAAGTTTCCTGTGTGTGGACAGAGACAATGAAGTTGGTTTCAGGTCAACTGTGTCAAACTAGATATTTTTATGTCTGAAAATGACTGCAAAGTTTTACCAAAAATATCATTTTAGGTGAGATTCACTAGAGCATTTTAGGCGAAGTCACTGGAAGAAATATTTTTCATGTATGAGCTCTAGAGTCTAGATCATTCAATAAACTGGTTAAAACTCCCCAAACAAGAACAAATTTCCCCACCTTGAATGGGAATTCCAGCTTAATTCCTACCCTAATTTGGCTGTGGTTTTCTGCCTTATGGAAAAAAACAGTACACAGAAGGGAAAGAGAGAGTTTGGGTTGGTCGTGTGGGGATTCCAGTGACCTAGGCTCTCAGGGCCTCGAGGAACTGAAGACAGATCCGCAGTGGCACGCTGGTGCCGTTGCAGGACGCTGTGGAGGACGGGAAGGGCACCGCTCCTCTGCCACAGGTGCTGTGCCCGGGCCTGTGGGATGAGCCCCACAGGGCTACCCCCTGGCCTTCTGTCCTTTGTTCACGTCTGCCCAGGACAGTTGGCAAAACAGCTGGTTGGTAAAATTGGGCAGGATGAACTGGGCATGGTCAGCACACTCCTTGCTTGTCCTCCTGAGAGTCACCCATGCCATTTCCCCTCCATGGTGGCCCCAGGGCCTCGGGGGCTCAGGGATCCCCTGGACTGGATGCCAACAGCAGGAGGTCCTGTCCCTCTGGTGTGAGCGTCCTGCAGCCGGGCCTTCCTCAGCACCGAAGGTGACGTTCTGGCTTCATTCCATGTGAGTGCTTTGTGTGTGTTACTTCTCAGAGCCCGTGGAGAGCAAAGGGTCGATGTTCCTGAGCCCTGTGGGCCCAGCCAGGGTGCAGCTCTCTGTTGCTCTAGATGGCAAAAACCAGAGCCAGAAGACACTGGAACCCAGAGAGGTGGGGAGGGCGCAGGATTGAAGATGCTGTGTGGTGACTGGGCACTCTGGCAGGAGCAAACTCCTACAGCCGCTTATCCCAGACCCACACGTGGGGAAGAGTCAGACTGCAATTGTCTGTGAGTGCTTAAGGATGACCTGTAGGGAACAGCGCTGTACCAGGTGAAGACTTCCCGAAAGTAACTAACACTCCACGAGGTGTTTTACAGGGCTTGTGGGAGAGGCCATCTGACACCCAATACATTTAGGGTCTAATACAGTTGGATGAACTGTCAACTTTTCTTCCTGCCATGAAAACCGTATTTTCCTAACAGGTTTCTACTCAGATTCTTTCCAATTTTACCCTTCTTGCTTTATTGATTCTGGAGTCTGGTGGAGAAGCTAAGAGACTAGATTTATTTAAAGGAACCGATCAATGAAATCCAGCTGACCCACTTCAAATCCAGTTGAAGAGCTGCAGCTCGTCAAGGATGCAGTGTCCGGAAGATAATCACAGCCGGTGTAAAGAATGGGGGCGCAGGGGGAGGCACTGCTCTCTTAGCTTTCCGTTCTGTGCTGTTTTCCTGTAGGGGTAGAAAAGCCTCAGTTCAGCACAGTCCTGGCCCAAACTGTCTCGCGATGCTGTTTGCACAGGTTCCCGTCACAGTCCAGCTACCAGGACCAGACTGGCCGTGGGGAGTTGGGTTTGCCATGTTGCGGGCTGTGTATTTGCAATAGGGCAGATTGTGGTCTTAATTGGGGTCACGTGGGTCTTTGGGGTGGCGCACCAAGGTCACTCCGTCCTTCCGTCTCACTTCTATGGTTTCTCATTAGCATTTCGAATGCCAAAGCGCAGCAAGCGTGGCCAGGCCAGACAGGGTATTCCCTTCGGGACAAGCCGCGGGCTCGCAGCGCTCGCGCAGTAGAAGATCCGATCCAAGCTGTCAACAATGATTCCCCTCGAAGGCGTGGAGCTCTCCTCTCGGGAGGCGGAGGCGGAGCCGGGCAGAGCGCACGGAGCAGAGACGCTCGGAAGGACCAGGTCTGCGTGTCCAGCGCCGCCCAGCACTCACCTCCGGGACTTCAGGTAGGCGCTCTGTGCTTGTGCCTTTCCCCAAAGTGTCTGTGTTGGAAGCTGAGTCCCCGGGGCAGTAGTTTCGAGAGGTGGGGCCTTCGGGTGACTCTTGAGGAGGCGCTACCCTAGGGATGGGTAAAGCCAGCCTCTCGGAGCAGGTTCCAGCACTAGGACACAAGCTCAGCCTCGCGTGCCCTTCTGCTTCTCGCCTCCACCAGGGCTGATGATGCCCCGGAGGCCTCACCAGGGCCACACTCTTGACACCGGCTGCCCCAGCCCAGGACTGTGAGAAGTAAGTGTACTGCGGACCCTCAAGTTATGGCCAGCCAGGCAGACAAACAACTTGGGTTGATTAGGTTAATGAAGATTCATCTGCCTCTTGCTATCTATAGGGCTAACCCAGGTAAACATCCAGATCTCAGCTGTATTGACTTATAATCAACCTGAGTTACAACCAGCGCTCGGGACCCGATTGAGTTCGTAAGTCAAGGGTCCACTATATTTTCCTTACAAATTACCCAGCCCACGGCATCCTACTGGAGCAGCACAGCATGGACGAAGGCAGCCCCTCAACCTTTCTGAGCCTCAGGTTTCTCATACACAAAACGGGCTAAGAATGTCATCCAATTGCACAAGAAATACATTGAGAGCCAACAAATGGGATCACAACAAATTAAAAAGCTTCAGCTCAGCAAAGGAAACCAACAGTGTGAAGAGACAACCTACAGAACGGGAAAATGTTAGAGGACTAATATCTAGAATGTAGTACATAAAGAACTAAAAAATTACACCCCTAAAAATACCCAGTCAAAAATGGGCAGCTGAAATAAATAGGCAGTCAATAAATACTTGGAAAAAATGCTCAACATCTCTGGCCATTAGAGAAATGCAAATTAAAACAACAGTGAGATTCCAACTTACTCCAGAAAGAATGGGAATCATCAAGAAATCAATTACAAATGTGGATGAGGCTGTGGGGAAAGGAACCCTTCTAAATTGGTGGTGGGAATGTAAACGTACAACCACAGGAAATCAGTGTGGAGATTCCTTGAAAGATTAAAACTAGAAATTCCATTAGATCCGGCTATTGTCCTTCTAGGTCTCTTCCCAAAAGAGTTAAAGACATCATGTTACAGGGATCCATGCACACCCATGTTTATAGCAACACAACTCACCATAGCTAAGTCTTAGAAGCAGCCTCTATGTCCACCAATGGATGAATGGATGAAGAAAGTATAATCTCTATACACAATGGATTGCTACTCTGCCCTAAAGATAAACTTGAGTCATCTGCAGGAAAATGGATGCACCTTGAGCCATGATGATAAGTGAAGTACACCAGACGTACAAGCTTAAATACCTCATGGTTTCTTTTATATGAGAAACCCAAAGTATAAATAATTTAAAGAGCAAAATAAAAGATACAGAATAGGAAACAAAGAAATAGGTCTTCTGCAAATGGGAAGGTGTCTGGGATTGGAGGAAAAGGGACAGAAGGGGAGGGAGAAAGAATTGAGCCGTGTTGTGTCCACGTTCCACTCGTGATGAATGTGGTCATCTTGTACTGCAAACGTGGACTCATAAAGTGTTAAAAATTAAAAAATATGTCAGCCCAGACTTAATGCTGTTATTACTGTAATTTCATTTAGAGATCTAAAGCAGACTGGACATCCAAAGAGGGTGGCACAATAACTGATAAGAGGCCAAAAATAGACAGCAGTGTGATTTGCTAAGGAAAAGCAAGAGAAGGATGCTTTAGAAATTCCTGGCTTTCGAAACACTATGGTTGTCAGGTAGGGAAGCCCCAAAGCCCTTCAGTGGACACGGGACACAGTTGCGCTGAGGGGCCGTGGGACTGGAGGCCCACGCGGTCGTGGCTTCTTCTGAGAGGCAGCGAGGCCCAGCTGGAGAAGTGGGACTGGCGGCTGGGCCGGGAGCCAGTGGCGGAGGGCAGTGGGCAGCACCTCCGTCGTGCCCAGCGAGGCGGGGCAGGAAGTGAGCGGACAAGGCCTGTCCTGATCACCTACGTGAGGGTGTGGATCCAGGACTTTCCCCACGGCGAATGGCGGTGTGAGAGTCTGGGCAGACTCTGCCCGAAAAACAGCTGAATTGGTGGCAGTTATGAATGGCGACCAGTTAAATTTCTGAGAATTGTCCTAAGGGCTGCAGCGCATGGAGAGACTCCCCAGAGAAACTTGTCCTTCTGGGGCAGGGTGTGAGCCTCGGCGGTCCACACCCGCAGGCTCGGACCCCGCTCAGGTCTGGGGGCTCACAGCCCCTCCTCCCACCTCATCCCATGTTGCAGAGCCCCGTCCCTGCTGCCGTGGCCCCAGGAGCGCCAGACTGCACCCCTGCCACCCCTGCCTGGGTGGGGGACAGTGCGCCTCCTCCACACCCAGGCTGGCTGTGGGCTTCGCATGCCCACAGTGCTGCTCCTGAGTGGGCAACGCTGTGCAGTGGCACCATGGCTGAGCCACGGCAGGCAGAAGGTCTCAGGACGAAGAGCCCCTGCGCTGTCAGGGGCCAGTTTCATTTAGAATGGGTGGAGGGGGGCTCCATGCCTCAGCCATTGTTGAAAACGGTCCACATCTCCATGGAGAGCTGTTCAGAGGAAGCTGTAGGGCCGGGCAGAGAGAGTCAGAGGAGAGACAGCCAGGAGCCTTCCTGGGGCCACGGTCAGCTCTGGGTCAGGCGGGCTGAGCCCAGGTGCTGGGCTGGGCTACTCAGCCTGGCGAGGGCAGGATGCACACAGGGCAGAGGCCATTGGCACAGGAGGATTGGCACTGACGGAGCAATGAGAGGCCTGGACCGAGCAGACCGAGTATCAAAGTGCACCACACTCCTCCCCGGCCTCTCAGTAGGGGCAGGAAGGGAACCCAGGCCAAGAGTCCTCCCTGTGTGTGCGGGACCATCTCACTGTGAGTGAAGCCAACCAGCCACCCACTCATCCGCTGGTAAAGGGTAAGGAAATCCAGCTAGCTGAGGTGAAGTGCACTCGTGGGAGGTGGCTCCTGCCAGCCCAGCTGGGACCCTCAGTGGCCAGACTAAAGAGAGGACTCACGGGCAGGTCCCCGGAGCCCCGAGGCGCACAGCTTATTGGTGGCTCAATCCAGGCAAATCGCTTAACAAACTCAAAGCAGGGTCCGGGCTTAGCACTCGCAGTCGTTAAACCCAACCTACAAGGTCCACCCTGAGCTCCCGTGTATGGGGAACAGTGTCGCTCAGGGACCCCACCCGGCGACACAGCAGATGAGGCCGGGGAGCTGTGGATGGTGAGAAGCGCTGGGCAGATGCCATGCTTCATGGTCTGTGGGGCACTGCTGATGAGCACAGGGCTGAAGCCTGGGCTTGCTTGGCGAGGGGTTCCGGGGACTGGGCCAGGCTTGGTGCCCATACAGAGCCATCTCCACCTCACCAGCGGTGCCGCCAGCCAGCGTCGTCAGCAGACTTCTCTGAGCCTTAGGTCTGTCATCAGTGTGAGTGCAGGCAGCGAGGGTGCCTCTGTCGGAGAGGGGAGAAGCACACGTGAAGGGTCCGGTGCCGTCCTGGCCTTGTTCCCTGACAGCAGTGGGCAGCTCTGGTATCCCAGGAGCCCCGACCCTGCACTGCACCCCTCAGAGGTGGCACCCTCATTAACTCCTGGTCTACAGAGGAGAGACTGAGGGTCAGAGCGCAGCCGAGCTGGGAGCCTACGCTGTTTGAGGTCAGCGTCGTCTCGCCATGCCTGGGGCTGTGTAGTGTCCACTGTCACTTGGTGCTGACTTCGGTGTGCAGCGGGCCTAGGCTGAGGGACGCAGAGAGCTGTCAGGGGACCCAGCCTGAGTGGTGCTGACCTCTGCCTGCTGGCTCCCCTCGCCCAGGGGCAGCTCAGTCAGCGGAGGCTGAGGAGGGCGCAGAACGGGTACAGCCCTCTCAGGCTGGAGTGAGCCGTGCAGCAGAGCAGGGTAGGGAATAGCAGAGGTGGCGCAGGGGAGCCCCGAGGTCCCCAGAATGAGAGCCGTTCCGTTTCTGTTGGTGATTCGGGCTTCACCTCACGCAAAGCAAACTTGGTCATTCTAAGGTCCTGTCTTGGTTTTCTACTCCGGCGCCTCATCCCTGTCTCCTGCCGCCTCTCTCCACCGGGGGATCAGGGATCGAGGTTGCTCTGGGACTTCTCCTTGGCCAGGCACCAGTCCTGCTGTCCCAGGGTCCTGTACAGTGGGTGCCAGGGCAGGGGTGGGTGCAGGGCTGCAGACCCCTCACTAGAGGGCCTTCTCCTCAGGGTGCTTGGGCTCAGAAGGCATTGGTCGTCCTGGGTTGAGGTTTCCAATCCACCAAGCCAGTGCCGTGGCAATGGAAGCAGCCAGGAGGGAGGCCGAGGGGCTGTGGGGCCTCCCAGACGCCCGCACCGTCCTCAGGTGTCCCTGAGGGCCCCAGGCATCAGCACCACACCCGGGAGCAGAAGATGCCAAAACTGGGCAGCAGCTGCCTCTGAGCCTGCAATTCTGTCACCTCTAGCACAGGGTCAAGCTCAGGGAGACAGCGGGGCTCCTGGTGAGGTTGTGGCCAAGGAGGGGCAGCAGGGGCAGGGACATCACTGAGGCTCAAGGACGACTCTAAGTCACGTGGTGCATGGCTGCTTTCATTTCCCAGGTACTGGCAGACAAGATGGACGAGGAGCACGAGCGAGAGAACTGGAGAGAACTGGACCAGCGGGGGCAGCGCCCAGAGGGAGCACAGAGGATGTCTCCCTCTGGGCAGAGAGGAGCCCGGGAGAGCCACACATGCCAGGCCACGCACGTCTGGGTGCCTGTCATGCACTGGCCTCTTCCAGGAGCCGGGATTCCTGGTGCAAATCCAACCGTGACCTTGGCCTGGTCTGGCTGATGTCCCAGAGCATCTGGTTGCTATGGAGACCATGGCTGCTGGGAGAATGAGGGCCATGACTTACAGACGTTGGGGTCACCTCGGGCTCCACCAGACCTGGCTGGTTCTCCACAGTGACAACAGTGACCGCACACCCCACGCCCGTCACCTCGCTGTGCACGAGCTGCCATGGTCCTAACCCGCAGCCTAGTGGGGCTGGGCTCCCTTGTTTTGCTTTGGTTTGTTTTACCTTAAATCCACTGCGCTGCCCATGCAGCCTGTGTGCCCTGCACTTGCCCTTCCTCCTCCTGTGACTGCAGCCCGGTCCTCGGGCAGAGAGCAGTGCTACCTCCGCCAGAGCCACGCAGAAGGGCAAGGGGCCGCGAGGCCGGGTCCCTGAAGGACAGACAGGCGTGGCTGCCCAGGGAGCCCACGGCCGTGCTAGAAAGGACCCCATGGCTGGGCAAAGCGGAAGCAACAGATCCTCTGGCTGTGTGCCGTGCTGAGGACGGATCCGGGCCTGGACATGCTGGGTACACCCAGACCCTCGGAGCTCCCAGCCCGGGATGATTGTGGACCCATTCGGTAAACGCAGACCTGGGCTGCCGAGTCTGTGTTGTGAGGAAGCCCTGAGGACGACGCAGCCGCGGCTCTCGGAGCCCAGGAAGCCTGTCTTCCCGCCTTCACGTCTCTGCAGCGCGTGTGGCCATGGAACAAGGGGATCGGACCTAAAGGTAAATCTGATTGGCAGCACTTTCTCCCTAGTCGGGTCTAAAACCGGGGTGCGCACTGCACGCGTGTCCCCGAGTCAGTGATGCCTGCGTCCTGTCCACACCACCAACAGGTAGTGCTCCTGCTGGGCAGCCCACTGTGCGGGCCGAAGGCCTGGGAGGGGCACCAGTCACTCTCTGGTGGGCGGTGGGTGGGAAGGGAAGGACGGACAGGCTGGGGACCACGGCAGCCGTCTGGAGGCAGGGCGACATGGGCAGAGTGGTTCCAAACGGGTGCTCAGCACCACTCGCTGTATCAGTGGGTTCGCCCGGTCCAGTGTCATGCTGTGCACCCCACAGACAGCAGGGGTCCACTTGAGGAACCGCAGCTGGATCCCTCTGGGGGAGCCCTCTGGGGCTGGGTGCGTGACGGCTGAGTGGGACGCCCAGAGTCAGTGTTGGGATACAGAGGGGCTGGGGCTTGGAGGCTGGACACTGGGGACTCAGCGCATGGGGGAGACAAGAGGGCTGAGCACAGCTCTGCTGCACAGCGGGCGGGTGGGGTGATGCTGCCTTTTCCACAGAGAACAAAGGAGGTGAGCGGTCTGGGGAGAGAGGAGAGAGCAGACTCCTGCGGGTGCGAGTGGAGCACACACGGTCCAGGAGAGAAGGAGGTGGTGTTTGGGACTCAGCGGAGCCCGCCGCAGAGCAGGCAGAAGCCTGCACGGGGATGGGCGGGACTTCCGCCCAATGCCCCTGTGGTAACTGGTGTGTATCAGTGCCCAGGGCATGTTTGTCACCAGGGAGCACTTACGGTGACCCGGGTGTGTGTGCGCATGCACGTGCGTGTCTGTAGCTTAGGAAGCGTGTGCCCTTTGTACACTGGGCACGGAATCAAGGCCTCGCCAGCTGTTGACTCTGCTTCTTGCAAGAATGGCAGTGCCGTCTGTCCTCTGCTTGCACCCATGTGAGCAGTGGGGAAGTGAACAGGCGAGGGATTTGCCTCTCCCGAGCGAGGTATGAGGCGGTGGCGGTGCTGGGACCCGGAGCCCGGTGGCCCAGCTGCAGGTTGGTTCTCCATGTATTTGCTATACTTTGGCTGATTTCTGTTCTAAAAAAGGGTTTCCTGCTCCTAGTAAGCGGTAGGAGAAGAGGCCTTGCACATGAAAGGTTAAGTTCCGGATGTTTCCAGTTTTTGTTGTATTTTTTTCCTCACTAAGCACAGCGTGTGTGACGGGTCCAGCCTAAACATTGCCAGCCTGGTGAGGCTCTCCTCAGCCCCATCTCTTCTTCCGGGACTCAGCCTGCCCTCCAGGGTCCCCAGGCTCAGGGTGCTGCTCCATACGACGCACGGCAAAGACTGAGTTTTAGCTTGTGAATCACTCCTAAGGGCAGAGACTTTGTGTCAGGGCTTTCTGTGTCCTAAAATAGCTCGCCACATGCCTGGTGTGGAGTGAGGCCATGATGATGCTCACCAATGAGGAAAAGGAAGGAGGGAGGACTGAGGAAAGAAAGAGGACAGAGAGGAAGAAGGAGGGAAGGGCAAACTCAATGCCTTCTTTTCTGCGTGGCGAGTGCAGTTTGCAGCAGACAGCACGCTCTGCTTCCTCAGGCCCTGGCCTGGCTGCAGAGCTCACCGGGCAACGTCCATGTGCTGAGCTGCACTGGCCATGACCGCCAGCCCCTGTCCCTCCCCGGTGCCCACCGCCTGGCAGCACCCTGGTTCCCAGAGCAGGGCAGGGGGGCTCTCCCTGGCTTCTGAGCCCAGGCTGGGACGGGAGAGCCTGGGAATCCCTTGTTTCCCCTCGAGGACGTGGTGAGTGCAGGCTGCTCAGCACCCGCCCTCACCCTCGCCTCCCAGAGATCAGTGCCTCCCAGCCCTCCGCGCGCACGCGTTCACTGGGAATAGGGTCCTCTCCCTCTCTGGGTGTGGCTAGCGCCCGTGGAGCGAGGGGACTCCCTGCGCCCGTGTGTGCAGGCAGTGAAAGGGCAGCAGCTATAACATCTCACTTTATGTGATAAAAGTAGTACTGCTCCACTTCACAGAATCCCTCGTCCCTCGTTCCCCAAGCCCGATCTGCGGTTTTAGTGCTTCTGCCATAGCAGCTTTTGATGGCGGGCATGTGATACGCGTTAGCTCAGAATCTGCTTTCAATTCAGTCGCCTCAGATTGGGTTTTCACTGTGCGTCGTTAGTCACTGATGTTGACAAGCATTTGTCACGGTGCCATCTCCCCCTTTGGGTTTTTTTTTGTTTTTTGGTACCAGAATCGAACTCAGGACCTTGTGCCTTTGAGGCAGGCGGCAGAACCACTGAGCTAAATCGCCAGCCCCTCCCCCTTTGTTTATATGCAAGTACCAGAACTAAAATGATTTATTTATGCTTTAATTAAAATTTGTAGATAGACTAGTGATTTTTAGTAGTGACTTTTCTAATTTGTGGGCTCCAGAAAGAAAAATCGATAACCTGAAACCATTTATGTTTTCACGGTGGCCTTGGGCATCTGCAATGCTGCACTCACCTGCAGTGGGCTCTGCAGAGCGTGGTCCTCACATGAATCTCCCTGAGGCCAGATGGCCTGCACCTCAGTGCTTTCCTCCGTGTCAGCTGCAAGTAGATGTTTCATGCTTTTGGTTCTCACGGTCTTCGTGGCAAGGGGCAAGGCGCAGATTAATATCGACAGTAAATTGATGGACTGAATTTTATAATACTCGACCCAATCCATAACAACTGATCAGAGTTTTAATAATTTAAGCCCACTGATTTTGGTTCCTGCCAATTGCTCTCTGTGTTGAAAAGGTACCCCAGCAGGTCTTTGGAAAGAACTTACCCCAAACACCAAGCTTTTATGGGAACTTAATATATATTCAGCATTGCAGGTACATAAATCTCCATGAAATTGCACCAAATTAATGCATTTACTGGTGCACACAATTCAGTGACTACTTTGTAAAAGTCCAAATAAAGATAGATACAGCGGGTAGATAGGGAGAAATAATGAGCTGATGTTCCTATGTGTATTAACAAGATGAGGTTATTGTCTCCACCAGGCGAGCAGCCTAACTGGAAAAGAATTAATTAATTTTCAAGCCATTGGGATGGTTTAATTGCTGCTTTTCAGAGTCCTAGGAGAATGAACAGTTTGCGTGTCCTGCTGAACTGTAACTTTCCTCCTCCAATCGTGAGGGCGGCAGTGTGGGGTGGGAGGGGTGATGGCATGGGGCAGCGCTCTGGCTCCCGATGTGGGGCACGGCGCGGGCTCGAGCTCATCTGACCTCAGAAGCCCCTCAGGAGGCGGCTCCCCCTCCCCCTCCCCCTCCCCCTCCCCCTCCTGGCCACGTCTTCCATGGAGGCCCTGTGCTCACCGGCCTCTCCCGGGAGCAAGGCCCTGCGTCCGTGCAGGCAGAAGTCGTGTCCTGGGGCCACTGACTTTCTGGCAACAGGAGGCCATGTTCAGGTGGGCGCACGCATGTTCTGGCTGGAGTGGTGGCTTCTGAGCTGCTGCCGGGTCTTGCCCTGCTCCCAGCGTCTCCATGTGCCCTGCTCCTCCCTCGGTCAGGAATGCAGAGCGCGGGTTTGCCGTTATTCACATGCCAGCTGACTGTGTGCAGAGAAAGTCCCAAAGAACCCACGTTAAACATAGTTGAGCAATTAATTTCACAGTTCTCTGCGGCCAATATACAAAGTCAATATAAAAATATCAGTACCCTTCTTATTTACCAGAAACAAATTGAACGATTGTATTTCTAGAAATTTTTGCCTACAGGATTTATGAATAAGTACAAGAAAGAAGTTCAGCTCCAGTGTGCCATGAAGCACTGTGGGGAGATCTGAGCTCTCGGGAGGGAACCTGGTCCCCGGGGGTGGCAGATCAGCATCGGGTGTGTGTGGATGCAGCCAGTTGCAGGGTGGATACGGGGCCACTCAGAACCCTGGTCAGCTCATGTTGTCTGGAATTTAGCAAAGTGATTTTCACAGTCACAGAAAACCATAAGTAACCCAAATACGTGGAAGCAATTTTGAGGAGCAGAGTTGGAGCATACCATATGTATACCACTGTATGTCAGAAGGCAACTATGTATAGTCAAGGTGCCCCTGAAAACCCTGCATACTCCATAATTGTTGGTTAGGATGTTCCCTATATATTTATGGTTTTAATTTTTCAGTTATGTCATTCATATCTTTTATATACTTTCTGGTTGTATTTTTGACTCTCGTGTGTGTCTGTGTGTGTGTGCCGGGGATCGAACTCGGGTCCTTGCGCTTGTGAGGCAGGCGGCGGAACTGCTGAGCTAAACCCCTGGCTCTGGTTGTATTTTTGGCCTGTCTGTTCTGTGAGTTACCGAAATGTGTCCCACATTTAACAAAAGAACTGAGATGTATTCTGAAAACTACAAGACATCTGGAAGAAATTAAAGATGAACTACATAAACAAAGACATTCCATGTTCATGAATTGGAAAACTTAATGTTGTTAAGATAACAATATTCCCCCAAATGATTTAACGTTTAACACAATGCACATCAAAAAGTCAGATGGCTGTTTTCCTCCAGAAATTAACAAGCTAATCCTGAAATTTACATGGAAATGCAAAAATCTCAACTAGTCAGAAAGAAGTGCAAAGTTGGAGGACTCACACAGGTTTTCACACTTACTCTGAAGCTGTGGTAGTTAAGACAGCATGGTGCTGGAGGAAGGACAGGCCTGTAGGCCACAGGAATGGAACTGAAAGTCCAGAGATAAATCCGGACATTCACGGCCCATTGATTTTCAACAGCAGGGTCAACACAACTCAAGGAGGAAAGATCGTCATCTCAACAAACTGCTTGGACACCCAGACGTCCAAGCCAAAGAACAAACTTGGACCCCTCGTCCCGTAGGATGTGCAAAAATGAGCTCAAAGTGCTTTATAACCCTAAATGAGGGGCTAAACTAAAACATTGCTAGAAGAAGAAAGTAAAGTTTTGTGACTTTGCATTCATAGGTATATAAATAAAAGTCTAACAACAGAAAACAGCTAAATT